ACGTACAGGGAGATGTTTGAGGCATGGAATAGAGAGGAAAGGACGGTAGCTGTAGTGGGGCATAGGAGGTGGGTTGAAAAGGCGGGAAGGGATATCGTTAGGATAGACAGACTAGGGAAGACATTTTTGAGCCACCTTTGGCAAAGTAGAAAGGAACGATTGGCCATCGGTGATCGGTCCTGTGGGAACAATGCTCCGTCCTCTCGAGGACGCGTGGTCAATGGTCTAACCGCTAAGACATGCAAAACATAAGAGTACGCCCCCCCCCTGTCCCTGTGCTCTAGCTGACCCGCAACCTTACGGTATGTGAGAAATATACTCGCCGCCCATGTCTTTGGGCTGCCGCTGATGTCCGTACAAGTGGGTGGCGATCCACGCAGGAATCATGGATATACATTTACAGTAGACGCATGTCATTCCACGAAAATCGACGCTCCATCGCTCCGCGCCGTCCTGCTGCGTATGCATCTTCGGTGCACATTCTGACAAAAGAGGTCAACGCTAAATGTCCGGCCCAACACAAAAACTTTTGAATATTTCCGAAGTGTGGTACATACGCACAGCGGCAGATAGCTTGCGAGGGAGGTGTCTTTTCCTCAGACAAGAACCGCAGACAGTCGTCGTGTGTTTGGATCATACGTCGGCCACAATGACGCCAACCGTCGTAAGCATAGACGCCCGTGCTTGATCTCGGCCTCGCACAAGAGTTTGATACCTCCCGGCTCAGCGCCATCGGCCAGCTCGAGGGGGTCGAAGATCTGGCGGGTTCAGTGGTCGAAAGAACACCGAGAACCACCAGCACGGCAGAAAGAGTGGCGGGAGCATGTTGTTGGCAGCCATACCACAGCCACCCCAACGAGCCGGAAAGGCAAGACACTCCTCAAACAAGCGCGGCAGAGATATACAGAGTACCATGCTCAAGGGAAGTGCTTACTACTAGAGGTCCACGTCCGAGACGATGCACACAAACATGTGTCCATGCTTTAGAAAACGGATCTTGGTCTGTGTGTGCTTGTGTCTGCACATGTGTGTTTTTAATAATATTACGCGTGCGCGTGCATGTACGTGTTTTTATTATTAGCATCGACCGCGCTAACCGGCTGACCAATGAAAAGACGTCAGTCTCAGTGCGGTTGAAAACACACAACATTTTTATCTGCCATGAACTGGGATCCCGTGAGGGGGCAGCATGGGGGAGGCTAAACTATCCTTCGGATCAAAGACAGCAACAGCAGCAACAGAAGAAAGCTGCACGTGTCTACCAAGGCTACTACCTTGTACTCGAGTTCGTTTAGGAGTACTTTCACTATTATCCTCCTTGTATTCGCTACCATCATTCTCATCCTCATTTTGACAAGAAGAATCTCTGGGAAGTTCTTCCCTAGTCCTACACGTTTTTTCTCTTGGGGAAGGTCATCTGGCTCAAACCCTTTGCTCTCTTCCACTCCTGCATGTTTTCCTCCTCCATCGTCGTCTTCGTCCTCCTTTCTTCCCTTTCTCTTTCCTTCGTCTCCGTCACTCCCAAAAGAATTACCCTGATTACTATCGTTGTCGCAGAGATCCCAACCGATTGGCCCTGGTGGAAGTTGGTCGATCAGTAGCCCATGACGTTTGAACACATCGCGAGTTCGCATCGACAGAANAGTTGGTCGATCAGTAGCCCATGTCATTTGAACATATCGCGAGTTCGCATCGACAGAAAACGAGCTATTTAGTACGTGTGTATTTTTATTATTAGCATCGACCGCGCTAACCGGCTGACCAATGAAAAGACGTCAGTCTTAGTGCGGTTGAAAACACAAAACATAGAGATGGACTCGTTGTGTCATGTTTAGAAAAAAAAAAACACTTCTATCTACCATGAACTGGTGTGTGTGTGCGCGTGCAGACTAGACACGTTTTTTTGGTCTGCATATCTACGGCCTCTCGCCAGGAGACATGGGCCAACTGTCTGCACAGAACACGGCAGTAGCAGAGGCAACAACAGGGCAGATGGCTGTAGAGAGGCTCGGGGTTGAGTACGATACCTTGCCATTCGAGAAGGGAGCTCCTGGCAAGGTGGCAAGGTAGTCTGATCCAGCGCTCATCTTGAGGGCCGAAGCATACGGGTGCCCCAGATCGCACGGCCATCGGTGTCACGAAGGCAGTTGAGGAGGCGACGAGGGTGGCGGCAGTGCCGAGGAACATCCGGGAGGCAGTCATTGTGTTTGGGGATGAAAGAGTGAAAAGAGAGGGAGGAGAGAAGTTGTGAGGGGTGGGGGGGAGGGCGCGTGCCGAAGCTGTGATTTTCGTGTAAACAAACGAGAGGTTCTACGGAGAACTGCCGCGGCTGGCTCCGCCAATCATATTCGAGGGTTCAAATTTGAAATGTAAATCTACCCGCAGTGGGAACAGCAGATGAAAAGCCGCCGGCGGCTCGTGATCTCGTGATGCTTGTAGTAGCTAGCTTGTAGGGTGCAGGGAATGGCGAGGAGATTCAGCCCGCAGTAGCCTAGTTACAGGCCCTCTCGCCTTGCTGGCGGTGAATTGCCACCGCGTATCGTGACGTGTGTCTGACGGCTGAATGTCAGGCACGTGCCATACATCCGTGGGATTTGCGTGTCACAACGTTCTTGCTCATCGCGCACAATCTCGCCGCATCGTTACCCACGCCCCTCCCCCACCCCCCCACAACCGCAACACACCCTCATCCCACCTTCCAACAGCCGGTCCTTCAACACACATCCCACCTACTAAGCAAGACGGTCGCCCTCGGCACTACCACCACCCTCATCGCCTCCTCGGTCATCGCCTCCTGGACTGCCTTCGTCGCACCGATTGGCGTGCGATCTGTTGCCACTGCTTCCTCCTCGAGCCTCCCAATGAGTGCTGGCTCGGACTACGTCGTAGCGCTGCCCGGAGTTCCC